TCATTATTGGATCTGGGCGATAGGGCTCATTGTATTATTCTCTCTGCTTCTGTGATTGACATTTTTCTTAATAAAAAGCTGGAAAATGTTATACCAAGAGAAACATGGAAGTTATAAGTTATTTTCATCTAACGCTTCACCTTCAACATCCTTTACCACAATATTAAATTAAGTACCATCTTCTATAAAGTAACTGGTTTATACTCTTCAAAGGTATTGAATTACAAAGGACAGACTAAGGAGCTTTCCAGAGTAAAGAGAAATGACAACTAAATGCAAAATGTACTTCTGAATTGGATTAGAGACCAGAATCTGTTTCCCTTCTTGTTATAAAGGACATTATTAGGAAAAGTTGTTCTTCTTGTGTTATCTTGTGCCAGAAATTCTAAACAAGTTCGGTGATGAAAGATTCCTTCTGTGTAATATCCGTCCTTTGGTGACTGCCTTAATTCACTTAGCACGGGATTAAATATCTAGAAGCAGAGAGAAGAATGGCAGTTGCCAGGGGTTGGGGGAGGGGAAATGGAAGTTGCTGTTGAACACACACAAAGCTCCAGGCTTGCAAGGTGATCACATCTGTCTTACAACATTGTGCCTGGAGTTAAGGAGACTGGACTGTATGTTTAAACATTTGTTAAAAGGGACCTCATGTTAAGTGTTCTTATCACACATACACACAATTTTAAAAAACAACCACAACAAAACAAAACAAATCCTCAATGGGTGATTTTGATGCAGACTGAGATTCATTACTACATACACGACTGTTAATACAAGTACTATTGTTGCATAGAGGAGGGGATGCTAAAATATTATTTGCTCTGGCAGCCAGATAGATGATACACCATTGGCAGGAGGCAGAGGATTATGGCCTTTTCTGTTATTTGCTATGGAGATGTAAAATTCCAAACTGAGGGGTACTCAGGTAAAGGTCACTTCTACAGCATCCCTTTGTCACAATCTTCTTCCTGTCCTCACAGGAGCAGTTTGGTGGCTGAGGGTCCCCTGCCCACCTGCTCTGAGTTCAGTGACTCCGGCAGTTCACATGAGTGGCCTCTCCCCAGGAGAATGTGCCTCCCTTACCCCAGGTCACCATAGCTTCTCTCTGGGGCTGGAGCTGATTGTGGAGTCTATGACTAGAAAAGTCTGCCTCTGCACCCATGATGGTGAGGGTATCGCAGAAATGGGGCATGTCTAGAGCAGAAACTGGCAACATCTATGTTTCATAATAGCATCATACAAGCACAAATCTTGTCTCTTAAAGAATTTATTCGTAAGCTTTTTATCTCAGTGGCTTATTAAAAGGGCTCTTAGCTGGGAAAGAGAGATAAGGAAGACAAATCCTAATTTAAATTCTTGAAGTCCTCTTAGAATTCTTGCATTGATATTTCTTGAACACTTGCTACGTGCCAGGTACTGGGAACACAGTCACGGACCACAGAGACACTCTCCATGCCTCACAGAGCTTCTATTCCATTCACCATCTGCTGTATCAGGCACAGTGGTGGTTTGGTGATACAAACATGGGAAGATACATTACCTAAATCAGAGAACATATGGTCCCAAAAAGAAACTTAGAGCAAAGAACAACACCATAATAAGACCATTGTAGAACTGAGAGGCATAGAAGGTGCTTGTATTCAGGAAATGGCCAGAGACATTCTGGGGAACATGGGAAGCAATCATGAGGTTGGGAGAGTAAGAATGAGGTTGCTAAGTGGGCCTGGCAATGTAATGCACAGATGCAGTCAGAAGTTACTGTGGTACATAGGTGGCAGGGATAGCTGACATGCGGTTATAAAATAACGCCAAATAGGATATTGAGCCCTGGGGCAATGAAATCTAGAGGCCAAGACCTGAAATTAGAAAGGCAGTTTGTCTAGAGGTGGAGTGGGAGAGTTGCTTTGAACGTGGGTGATGGGGAGCAGGGCAATGCGCGGGGCTGGATGGCCCACAGTCCTGGTCACAGTCCCTGAAGACCCACTCCCTCCAGCAAGTGGCACCAGGGAGCTGATTGGTACCAGGTGAATTCTCTAAGGTGGCCTAGGCTGCAGGAGCCCTGTGCCAACCCCGAAGGGAAGTGCAGGACAGAGGACTGTGGTAGCCCATTCACAGGGGCTGTCCCGCACCACTGTCTCCTGGGGGCACCACCTCTCCCCTTATGACAACCCCTTCTGTGCAGAGAGGCACCCAGGTACTTCTCAAATCTTGTAGATATTTCTTTAGCATGACAGATTGGTTGAGGTGTGAGGAAGTAGATTCTATAAAGCAGAGTGAGGATGCATGACTCTAAGGAAAGATGCAGAGCCAGAGCTTTGCTGGTCCTAGGAAACAAGGGTAACAAGCAGGGTAACCTGTGCATGAGGCAGGTCCAAATCAAGAATCAGGGCATCCTACTTCTGATCTCTATATCCTATGACAGAGGGCTGGGTGTGTGGGATTATACAGAAGTAGGATGGTGTCTGCCTATATCATTATCCCATGGGCTCCCATGCAATAGGAGGTCACTTGAGATGACTTCCAGGAAATATGAATAAGTCATTAGAATATAGATCCATTTCACAGGGAACAGTTTTTGGTCTTATAATCTCTACTTCCATCTCTGATTTAATTAGTGTAATTCTGTGTATACTGGGGATGTGTTATAAGGTGTAACGGAAACTCAGCTTAGACCCAAGAAACACCATTTTTTGTAGTCCAGAAATGTCTGGGCAAGTCTTTCAAAAAGGAGAGATTGGTACACTGGGAACCCCTGTGTAACAGCGTAAAGTGCCACCTAGAGGGAGCTCATCCTGAAATAAGGGCAAGGAGCTGGGCAAGTGGACTGACCCAGTAATACAGCCATAGTTCTTGGAGGAATGAGTGGATTCTGAGCTTAGCTGGGTTTTTGCATCTTGGATGAGGTCTTCTCCATTCTCTTATTCTAGGATATAACTACTATTTTTTTTAAGATTTTTTATTTATTTATTTGACAGACAGATCACAAGTAGGCAGAGAGGCAGGCAGAGAGAGAGGGAAGCAGGCTCCCCGCTGAGCAGAGAGCCCGATGTGGGGCTTGATCCCAGGACCCTGAGATCATGACCTGAGCCGAAGGCAGAGGCTTTAACCCACTGAGCCACCCAGGCACCCCTATAACTACTATTTTAATGGTTGATGAGAAATGTATGTAATTGAATGAGCCTTTGTGCTCAAGTCTGTGTAAGCGATTGGAAATCAAGATACAAAACTGTAGTTTTGCTCTTCCCATACAAAGAAGGGAAAGGAAAACCTTGGGCAAAAGTTTTCCTCTTCTGCTTCATTAATAGAGGTGTCACTCTGTTGGGAACTCTACCTGGGAGGGTCGTTGGGGCCCACTGGCAGGTACAATAGAGTCTGCTGTACTATAGTGCTAAGTGAATGACATGGTACAGAGCAGAACCATCAGCAGTGGCTAGCAGGTAGTTTAGGACCAATTAGAAAAAGAAAAGTATTCCATAGAAACAGTGGTACCCAGAGAGGCAACATCCTCCTCAGGCTGACCTAGAGTACATAGACAAGGGGCTAGAGTAGAAGAATAAATCTCTATTAGACCTCATGATTTGCCTAGCTTCTATACACATATGGAAAACCCTAGAATCTCCCCAAACTATGTGTAGGAAAGGACCTTACAGGGGACCCTTTGACTGGACTTGTCAGATGGGTGCTGGAAAGAGGATCTGAGAGAAGACTGAGTCATGCATTCATTTAACACTACGGCCTTCAGGCATGCTGGTAAGTATGGAGATAAAAAAGTAAAATAGAAATGCATGATCCTTATTCTCTTTAACCTTAATATTTAGTAGCCTAAATGTTAAACAGTGAACAATTAAGTGTGTTGATGACCATAAGGATAGAATTTCGTGCTGTCATAAGATCACGTGGCAGAGGAACTAATCCAGCCAGGGACTCAAGGAAATCTTTCTGGAGGAAATGACTTCTGAGTTAGTATCCAGAGGAATGATCAGTCTGGTGACCAGGTAGGTAGGGAAAAGAAGGTTGCTCTAGGGTGAGTGAGCATTATTGGTGACTACCCGGCAGTGAGTCAGTCGAGGACACCCGTGGGGACCTGTGAGAGGTGGGATATGTCTGGTAGTTGTAGCTGAAGCAATGAGGATGTTCGTGTTAAGAAGGTAGGTAAGTGCTCAAAGACCACATCATGGAGAGCCTTACAAAGTCTCAAGTTTATACTTGAGACTTTAGTAAGGTTCAGGAAAGACACTGATGGCTTTCGAGCCCGAGAGAGTGTTTTGTGGATGGAGGCAGACAGCAAACTAGGAAGAGGGGGGTGACTACTTGGAAGGTGGTGAAGGAACCTAGGTGAGAGACGTTTGCTGGGCGACGGTGTTGTCAGTGACGTTAGAAACATGAGTAAAATTTGCAAAGGATGTAACATCTAGAAATATGCAGGGTGGGGGGAATAACAGATTAGGTGAGGAAAGATAGTATCTGAGAGATGGCAGAGATGACCCCTCCGTTCCTGGCGTGGGCATTTGGCCAGATGGCAGGACCATTTGCCGAGATGAGGAGATGAGGGACGTCAGATTTTGTAAACAACCCAGAGTGTGCTCTTCCCCCAGGGTGCAAACCTCCAGGAATAGGACATGGGATATGGGTCAAAATTTTGTTGAGGGATTGGACCGAAAGTGGGGTGTTTGGTTTGGGCAACAATGAAGCCCAGTAAGGAGAAAGGATTGCAGTATGCTTAAAGTTGCTTTTTTAGGAGAAGCTTCGCTTACCCCTGGCACTAGACCTAACAGTAGGCTTGTCCTGCCTTGACTTTGACAAGCACCTCAGTCAGGAGAGGTCCCATGAGAACAGCGCACTGCAGGGGAGCTCCCTTGCTCAGAGTCCCTGGAGTTGGGGAATCAGGGAAGGACTTCTAGGGCACTGATGGTGGAGGGAGTTTTCCTCTTGCCTGGCAAGGAGTCTCCTTGCTCTTGTGGTGTTCTTTTTGTGCAGAGAGCAGCTGGCTGAGCAGCGCTGTGGATACACTACTGGCACAGAGGTACAAAGAGGTCTGGTTCGTGCCTGTGGACTTTAGGGTCAAGGGGAAGTCCTTCTTCTCTTTCCGCAAGACACTGTACCCATCCGGGACATCTCCATCTTCAATAAAGTCAACGTTTCTTGAAAAGTAGATCAGCTTCAGACCCACTCCTGGGTCTTGTCGATACCAGTACATTGCATCATGGTCCATATCTTGAGAACAATACAGTGTCAACTGCCTTCCTGTCCTTGTGATGAAATGTCTCGGGGTCTGGGTCACTCCAGCTTCCACTGGGCCTGTAAGGGATGGAAACAGAGCTAGAGACAGCCAAGAAGGGCACAGCCTCTAGAAAAGGACTTGAGCTGAGACCTGCGATCTGTGGCCAAGTTGCTCACGTATCCTGAAACTCACCTGCTCCCAGGAGACACAGCACCACACAGCCCAAGAGCCTGAAAGACATGGCAGTGGGACATGGGGGTCCGCTGGCCCTGGGGCTGGGCTCTAGTAGTTTCCGTTAATATCTCCATCTCTGCAGCTACTTGGCTCTCCTTTTCAGGAGGGAAGCCCCTCCCCTTTCCTCACAGGGCTGAGGAGAGACACAGACACTCAGTAGTGGCCCCTGTGGGCTGGCAAGCGTGGTGATTCCCCAGCCTTTCCCTTGCTCTCCTTCAAGGCTGCTCCTTTCTGTACCCTGGACAAGGTCTCACCAGTACACTCCTGTCAAACTTGGCAAATATTTGTGTATTTTGAATCCTCATGATGAAAACTGGTATAATGTTATAATCACTTAGAAATGCGAGAACATGTAACTTACACTTGATCACAAGTGCACGTTTATACTTTCATAGTCCTCCTGTCCACTCTGCAGAAGAAATTACAAGTATATCTCTCCTTGTTTATCCCTGATATGTTTTCCAGCCATGAGCTAATGAGTATAAATTCAGCCAGGTCCACGGTGTGGATTATTTTATTGTTCTGTAGCCAGTTTAAAATATTAGGTGCAGACTCTTTCCTTGTTTGCAGATTATACGTAGTCGTGGGAGCTAGTTAGTAGCTGCTTTCCTCCAGGTTGGTGTTGGGTGTATCTTTCTTCCTTCTCCTCTTCTCTCTCTGTCTACAGGCAGGGATGACACTGCTTACTTCAACCACCTCACTTTTTTTTTTTTAACCAGCCAACATGGTTTCTTTGTCTGCTCTTTCTTGCAGTCTCCACAGGCCGTGCCCCATGGCAGCATGGCTACGTCCCCTGATGCTGATGGGCAGCTGGGCTGTGGATCCCATCTCGGGGAATTCTGTATGGGGCTTGGGGCATCAGGGTGTCTCTTCTGAGTTCTAGCTGCCATACTGTTCCCTTTTCTGGGGAACTGTGTTCTTCCTGCGCTGAGGTGACTTTCCTAGGGTTGCCCAGAGTATCTCCCATCTTGGACAGCTTTGAGTTTGTTCTGTGAGATTTTTGGAGCCAGAGTATTCTTGTGAGGTAGAGGGGGGAAGGATAGGGGAGTTTCCAACCACAGCTAGGGCTTCACCGAGTCCTTCTCTATTTTTTCAAATCATTGTCATCTCCAGGCAAGAAGGGGGCCCTCATCCCAGTCTTGGAGCAGCACTCAAACCTCAGAGATGGCTTTCTTGCTTCCAGTCCCTTTCATGCTGGAGATGCAGCTCCAACCACCCCCATTCCAGGCCAGTGAGAGAGACATGCTTGCTCTCAGGACAGAAACTCTGCTCTAAGGAGGCATGTTCTCTCTTCATATGTCACTACCCCTGTGGTTCCTTTCAGGAAAAGCATGGGGGGAGGGAGAGTCGGCTTAACTCCCCTTTCCTCCACTCTGGCCCTTGGTGTTTTCCTGTTGTCCTGGGAGTTCTCCATATTCTAGCTGTGGGACAGGTGTTCTCTGGGGAAAAGAAAGCAGTTTTCATTCTCAAGAACCTTCCTCAAGCCAACAATTTCCTTACTGCTTAGTAAAGCTTGTCATCCTGAATTTCATCTCTAGACATCTTTCACAGTTTACCTGCCTCTGCAAAGCTGAACCCACTATCTATTTACACCCCTGTCCAGTGGATTTTCCCAGGTTCTACGGTGCTTCCAATACCATGGAAGTGGATAATTACAACTCAAAGACACATAGTTTATCTCAGACATTCTCCATATTAGATTAATCCAAGATTCAGGAGGCATCTGAGTCAGTGGCCCTGCCCCCCAGGAGCTACTTTGCTCTCCTCAGACACATGGTACTCACCTCCTCCCCATCCCATGGACAGTGAGGCTGCTCTGGTCTCTTCTCTCTTTCTCTCCATCAATCAGGACACTAAAGCAATGTCCCTGATATCCTCAGATCACAAGCCAGTTGCTGAACCTTCCCACCCTTCCCTCCCAGAACCTTCCTTCTGATCTGTCCTCCCAAGGCTACCACCACATTCCAGAGTTTGGCAACATTTCCTCAATGAGGGGCAGGCTTCTGTGTCACTAACAGTGGGACTAGAAGAAAAGAGAAACCTGTAGATGGCCAGGAGCCCCAAAACATCTCCCTCCGCCTTTGTCCTTTAATGTAATGTGCTTCATTCTGTGCTGTCCATCTGTCCCTGTCTCTCCCAGGCCACCTTCGGTGTCTGCTCTCAGCCCCCTCCTCAGAGGTACCATCAGTAAATCTGCTGCCTCGCCCACCCAACCTTCTTGGATAATGGTCTCTGGATACCAATATTCACACTTGCCTCTTCTCCACTGAGGAGCCCTTTCTTAAAAACCACTGTAGAAGAACATGTTTATCCTTTTAAATGCACAGCAATATTTTTCCTATGGCAGAATCCCTATAGAACGTTCACCGTACTTCATACCCTAGTTTACTTATGCTGGTCCTGAGGAAGTTGCTCTACCCTCTGTATTTTCCTGTTATATGATCAACCTTTGAAAGACCTCATAAGAGATATTTGTATACTGAGTTATCTTTTAATTGGTGGTAGAGTGTTCAATGTTATCAAATTTTCTCTTTTATCGTGATCAGAAACGTAACCTTTATAATAAGGACTGTTAGTGCCCTCTAGTGACATTTTGCTGCAATAGGCAGAAAAAGAGCCGTAAAGTTGCTCTCATTTTAATCCCCACCAATTGTGAATGTTTAGAATCCATTAAAAAGGGAATTAAGGTGATGGATACAATTAAGGGTACTAATCAGCTGACCTTGAGCTAGGGAAGCCCAGTCTAATCACATGGGTCTTTTTTTTTTTTAAGATTTTATTTATTTGACGGGCAGGGGGAGAGGGAGATGCAGGCTCCCCACTGAGCAGGGAGCTTGATGTGGGGCTCCATCCCAGGACTTTGGGATCATGACCTGAGCTGAAGGCAGAGTCTTAACCCACTGAGCCCCCCAGAGGGCCCTAATTACCTGCGTCTTTAAAAGCAGGTAACTTTTCCCAGCTGTGTTTGGAGGGAGGCGTAAGTGTGAAGGAAGGGCTGGGGAGATGGAATGTTCCTGGTTGTGAAGACAGAGGAAGGTGATCATGAGGCAAGGGTATTTGCGTCTCTCCTAGAGGCTTCAGAAAGAAATTTAGTGCTGCCAGTGCACTGGTTTTGGCTGAATGAGATCGCTATTGGACTTCTCACCTCCAGAACTGGAAAATCAAAGATTTGTGTTGTTTTAAGCCACTTGAGTGTGTGGTAACTTGTTATTGCAGAAAACATCCAACCACCAAGACTAAAAAATCCATGGCAAGATGCAGTATGACAGCCGTTACGATAGGAAAGAGCAAAGGAAAAGCTACTAACTGGGTGGGGCATGGTGTCTAAGGGTGGGGCTTGGGCTCATGAGGGCAGAGCACTGACTGCCTTGGGTTTGACATTTTTGTCCAGAGGATGCAGCTGCATTGATAAACTGTGGGACTGGGGCATCTGCTTACTGCTGGAACATTTAAGGGTCAAGGGGAGATCATTCTTCTTCTTTCTCTCTCCTCTGTCTCCCTCTCCCTCCCTCTTTCTCCCTCTGCGTGCTTGAGCCACCTGTGTGGTCCTCTTGCAAGGGGATGGAAGCAGCAAAGGGAGTGGGCTTCTGTTGATACTCACAATAAACACAAATTTTAATTCCCTGCTATTTGGAAAGTGACTTCCTGTATCCTGGGTCACAAGCTGCCCCCTGCGCCAGCAGCAGAAACTCACTGGCTCTGTGCTGCTTAGCAGAGGCCATGCCCACGGTGCTAGCCCCTGACGGTCATACCAAAGGCAGGATTTTTCCCGGGAGAACAGGCCCTCTGAGGCTGTCAGTGACACCTGCCGGAACATTCTGATCCTAAGCCTGTGCAGAGGAGGTATTTGCAGAAATGGAGCATGCCAACAGCAGAAATTGGCAGCATCCTCCTTCCAAAACAGCATCATCTGATTCAAACGCTTGTCCTTATTATCCCTTTGCCTCTTCTTCGGCTTCTCGCAGAGTGGCTTTCTTCAGCAGCAGCCTTCTTTCAAGGGCTCAGGAACAGGGCTCTGTGTTAATTTTCTATCACTGCTATGACACAGTACCACAAACTCAGTGGCTTAGGACCACAGAAATTTATTATCTTACTGTAGGTTAGAGGTTTGACATGAGTCTCACTGGGTAGAGATCAAGGTGCGGTGGGGCTATGTACTCTTCTGGAGGCCCTGGGGACAATCCCTTTCTTTGCTTTCTCCATCTTCAAATAGAGCCCCAGTGGGTGGGATCCCTCCCACATCACTCTGTAAGGACCCATGTTTTTAATTGGGCCCACCTGGGTAATCCAGAATAATCTCACTATCTATCTCAAGGTCAACTGATTCCCAATTTTTACTCTACCTACAAACAAAATTCTCTTTTGCCATGTTGTAAGGCAATATATTCATAGATTCTGAGGATTAGCAAACGAATATTTTGGGGGGTGCATTACTTGTCCTGTCAGGAACCCTTCGCCAGAAAAGGAAGGTAAGTCTGGGAACTGATTAAACTTAAGACATGCAATTTTTAGGGGGAGGTGAGCAGGCAAGCTTAGGGTCCAGTCATTGTAGACATTGCTGAACCATTCTATCCTTTCCTTTAATAGACATAAAATGAGTATCAATTATGTGGCAGGCGCTGCTTTAGACTATGGGAACACAGACATGAACAAAAAAGACAACATTCTTGTCTCCATGCTGATAATCTTGAACACGGATCAGTCACTGAGCCTGTGTGCCATGCACGGGGCAAGATTCTGGGGAAGGAATGATGGAAACACATATCTTCTTAAAGTAGTCCAAAGGGAAGTTAGCCGTCCCAGTAATCATTTTAATTTGGCATCTGCAGAAAGGAAGAATTGTGTAAGGTGTGGTGGGAGTACTGAGGAAGGAGCCCACGATCTTGGGAAAACAGAACACATTTCAGATGTTGCTATTTTAAGTAATATTTTGAAGAGCAAAATGAGTTTGTCAGATGGGCCATTCGAGGGAAATATGTGCTCTGTGTTTGGAAATGGCTCGAGTTCAGTGTTGCTGGAGTAGAGCGTGTGAGAACGTGAGTGCTAGAAGGTGTGGCTGGATTTTCTTGTAGGGTTGTCATTGTACCTTAAATATGCAGGAAATGTTGTCCACTGCCACACGCCTCTGTCCCGGGTCGTTTATTTATGTCTCGTCCCAAACCCACCACCATACTCAGGGCTCTGCTGGTCTGTGTAAAGCTTGGGATTTGGTAGACTGAAGGAAAAAGAGAACCTGTCAGCATAGTATACACATGCTTTAAGAACTGGTAAACATAGGGAGACAGAGGGATAATTATCTTGTGTGTCAATCAGGCTGGATCTGTTCAAGTCATTTGTTTTTCCTCCTCCTATGAGAAGGCCTGAAATGTCTGAAGCACTGGCCCACTCTAGCTACTCACAGCACATGGGTATGTCTTCCCCATGCCCAACTATGACAGACTTAATGGAGAAAGAGATCCGTAACTCAAGAAGGAAAAATAAACAGTTCTTTATCATTATCCTAGACTCTAATGAGAACTTGACATTCTAATACAAAGATGTCTTTTTGGTAAGGGATTTAATTTCCTTTCTTTCAAAATATTAAAGGAATCATCGTACGTTTCTTTCCATGATAGTAAGTTTAGATTTTATGTTTGTTAGACCACAGAGGGCCAATGATAGATGCAGGGGAAGAGAGTGACCTGGCCAGAGTTTTGCAATAAGCAAGATTGCACTTGGCACTGGAATGCTAACCTGCATTCGATGGGGGAGGCTGGAGCCCAAGATGTGGATAAAGAGGCTACTAAATTTACCTGCAGAGCTGATAAGAGCATAAACATGACAGTGGTTGTACTGAGAGAATGGATAAAGAAAAAAGTTCTGAAGGCGTTAGCAATCAAAGCTCTTAAATACAGGTCGAATGTCCAGGGTCAAGGAGGAAAAGAAACATAGCACAACCTCAATCTCATGCAAGTAAATGACTCAAACTTGAATTCATCAAATCAGGAAATAAGAGGGTAGTTTTTAGGGCAAAGATGACATGTTGTGTTTCAACTCCAGTGGGAGAAGTCCTGGATGGACTTAAGTTCAAATTAAGAATCAGGGTGGAGAGGACAGATCCAGGACTCATTAACCACGAAGTGGGATTCTTGTGTTCCCCATCTTGGGATAGTGGACAGTAGCCAGCTTGTAGAGAAAGACAAGACTGATGCCATCTCAGAGAGTACCTTTTCTCTCCAAAAAAGTACCTTTTCTCTCTTCTAGTTATCACACTCTCCAACTACGGCAGCAGGTGGCAATTCAGTCCTACTTAACTCATTAACTTAACTAATTAGCTTAGGCTACCCTGATGAGGGCTCTGTTGTCTAATCTTGGAAGGGTAAACCAATTCACGAGATGGACAGTTTGCCACCTGAGACACGGATCTGTATCCAGATGGCCCCCCAATTTCTCTAGGAAACTTTCACAAATTGGCTGGTAACAAAACTAAAATCATACTAGATATCATCCTGTTCACTGGATCCTGAAATTTGTTGTTTTCTGGAGGTTCTGCCTTGAGGTTTTTCATTTCCCAATTCATTGGAATTTTGAAGAATTATGCTACCTCCTCAAATAATCAATCAACTGATAAGATATTTCTATGGTAGCTTACCTCAAAATTCACAAGAATGAAGCTCATTATAGGTTGTGTTCCCTCTGCCAACCAGTTTTATTCTCTTCAAAAAAATTCTCTCAACCTTCATTCCATCCCTTTCCCTGGTCTCATCTCTCATCCATTTTCTCAGTCCAGAGACCAAAACAATTTGGTTCCTTATCCTGAGGCCTTGGTGTCCTTCCAGTAGGAGCTAGATCTTTCCTCCTTAGCCTTCCTTCATAGCTTCCTTTTGCTCCCTTTACCAAAGGCCATGCCACTCTACTTTTATACTGTGTCCTTGATAAAACAGTTGGAAGAAAACTTGATCTATTGTGTGGCCAGGACTCAGAAACATCTCTCAAGTAGTTCTGAATTCTAATTCAGTGTATTTGATTGCATGTTCTCTGAATTTTCTGTCCCGATATTCTTGGCATTTGGTCTCCTTTGGTGTGGTAGACAGAATTCTAAGAGCAACCAACAGTGACCCTCTCCTGTGTATGGTCCCTTCCCCTATAAGTGTAGGAGGTACCTATAAATATAATGAAATCTTGCTCCTGTGACTGTGTTACATTATTTGGCAAAAGGGATATTATCCAGCTGAACCTGTCCTGATGCAATCACATGAGCCCTTCAAGGCACAGTTTTCTCCAGCTGGTAAGCAGAATGGGAGGTCACAGAGCTTCCTAAAGCATCCTAAAGGATTTGATGTGCATTTCTGTCCTTGAAGATGGAGGCGACCAGAGCGAGACTGCAAGGACCTGCAGGCAGACCCCAGTGACCACCAAGGAAACAGGAACCTGTAACCTGCCTCTCATTTGCACTATTTGTTATGGCAGCAACAGAAAATGAATACAGTTCGTTATCTGCAACATTTCCCTTTGGGAAACTACACCGTGATCCTGTTGCATCTCTGATCTGTCTGTTCAGCACCACAAGTTTTGATTTAAAAAAAATTACACCTGCATCTACCCAGGTGAAGTTCTGCTCCCTAACAATCCCTGAGAACAAACATATTTCATGTCTCTTATTACCAACCCCTCTCCCCTCCACTAAGTTTTTCCTCCTTCTCGGTCATCCTGAGTCCACGAGTTGTCTGAAAACTGGTCTTGACCTACCACACCCTCTGTTACTCACCTGAGGAAGCCCCACTACCCTGCTGATTTTCCCGTACGAGTCCATTAGTCATCGAGAGATACCATCGTGGAATCTTTGAAGGATCTTTGTAAATCTTTTTGTCTTTTCATTTTGTCTTTACTTGTTCAGAATTCAGTTTTATCACAAAATTTCCCCACATCTGCATCTCAGAAATGAAGTTTGTCTTAGGAAATAGTCACTTTGGGTTAATGCCTTCTAGTCTTAGTGCAATGTTAGCCAGGGGTGAACCCTTGGATTAAGACAGGAGAGATGTCTTGGAGGGACAAGAATGGGAAAAAAGTAAGGAATATTACAGTCAAGGCATGGCTTTAAAATTTGTCCTAATTTGGGTCAGGACTCTTGAAGGCGAGGTCCCCTTCCTCCTTGGCTTGCCCCTTTCTTGTGCAGAGAAGATAGGTCTTTGCAACGCTGTGGCTCACTGCTGGTGCAGAGGTACACAGACGTCTGGTTGGTGCTGGCAGATTCCAGGGTCAGGGAAAAAGATTGCAACTCTTTTCGAGAGACACGATACCCCCGAGGGACATCTCCTTTTTCAAAGTTTCTGGCACCAGTTGAGTAGTCGATCAGCCGCAGTCCAGATCCTGGGTCTTGGCGATACCAGTACATCAAGACATAGTTCATATCCTGCAAACACTGTAGGGTTAATTCCTTTTCTGTCCCCACGATCCTTTGTCTTGGGAACTGTGTGACCAAAGCACCCTTGAGGCCTGTGGCAGAAAAAAAAAAAGTGGTCAAATAAAGACAGAGCCTGGGAAGGGGAGACTGATCCTACCATCCTGAAGAAACATCCTATAGTTGGAGCCTGGGAAGCCCTTGACAGGTGTCCAGAACTGACCAACTCTGATGAGATAAATGACAACACAGCAAAGGACCCTGTTGTTCATGGCAGCATCTGATGAAGAATGCTGGCCGGTGTTGTGATGCATTTAGTCTGAGGCCAAGGCTTTTCACCTACTTCCTGGCCAGAGACCACACCCTCCTCCCTTGCTGCTTCAAAAAAGAACCAAAAGCCTCAGAGAGGTAACAGAATGTGGCCAGTTTCATTTTTCCAGGTCATGTAATTGTTCGTGATGTTCTCTTATAGAATTTGCATGACAGCTTTTTACCTCTATGAATTCTAATTTCTCTTGTGTGATATATCCTTTGCGACATGGTGGGTTTGTGTCTTGAATTCTTAGTAGACTCTTACGGTAAGTTGAGTCCTGTTGCATGGACCCTCGAGGGTTTTCTCCAAACATTTCTCTGGAAATTCTCTCCCATTTTATCCCTCTACCCAACTTGAAGTTTTTCTCTAAAAGCACTCTCATCTTTAGCCGGCTTAATGTTATTCATTTTCATGAATTTCTGCTATACAGTCTCAGCATGCTTTCCATGTAATGCTTGTGTCCCTTCTCTTTCTGTGGGCTGCCTCGTAAGGGACTGAACAGGTGTGGTGAAGAGAATGGAGCCATTAAATATACACAAACCCAGGAAAATCTGGGAGGTGCCTAGAACATGCTCGCAGGTGATTTGGGTCTGGTGTAGGAACTCCTCTTACCGGAGGTTCCACTAGATAGAACTGGGTGTGGGCAAATACTATGCAGGAACTTGTAGCTACTGACGCCTTTGAGTGATTTAGTAATTGCTCTCAAAACTGCTTGCTTGAGGGGGAAAAAGCATTTTTGGGAAATTGTGAGCTGTGAGTGGCCACGGACAAACTGAAGTTCAAACGTCATAGATGTGGCTTTTTGCCAGGTAACATTATTTCTAGGAAGATCTTTTTTCCTCAAATTCTAGGCCACCTGAGGATGTGGCTGTAGATCGCCGTAGATAAGCTGCTAGTACAAGTGTGAAGGTGTCTCCAGGGCCTGAAGAAAGCCTCCTCACATCAGGGACACTTTTTCAGTCCTGCCGGCAATAAGCGAGCAGTGGATCAGCGGTCACCCCAACGCTGGGACTTTGTCACACCACAACATTCTGTTACGAACAAAGCCCTAAAGACATTCAAGCAAAAGTTTCTCCCCTGTCCCATTCTGTTTTATATCTAGATTCTGGATTACTCTAATACCCAAGTGACCTGTGGGAGAGGGTGTAGAAGTTGTAGATAGTAGGGAGATGAAAAGGCCTGTGCTAGAGCCTAGAAATCCCAGTATATGACTGTTCCGTGTGCTCTATGTTCTCACCTGCTGCTGTCTTCAGAGGGGCCTGATACCCAAGGCAGGACCGGAGAAAGAGCAGGTCTTCTTCCAGCTCTTGTTGGCCAGTAGGAGGTTTGCCTGTGATGTCAAGGGGTCCGCCCACGCCCACAGTCCTGGATCCTGCAGAAATGGAGTCCCTCCTCCCCTTCACAGAGCATTACTCGGCTAGGCTTGACTTCCCTGGGCAATTCAGAAACAATCCTTTTGGGTTTATACATGCTCTCCCTTTGCATTCTTTCTGAGTCAGACTTAGTTTTTCATCTACAACATCCTTTAACAACCACTATTGCCACTAGGTTAGCTGTCAACATGGAGCCTCTAGAAGGAAAGTGCCTGGATTTGAACACTGGTTCTGCCGCTTACTCTCATCTTATGCAAGTAAATGAACTATTTAGTGCTTCAGTTTTACTATCACCGATTTGTGCCAATCCAAGTGTGCACCTGATGGAGTGGTGATGATCAAATGAGTTAAAATGAGAAGTGGCTGTAACAATGCCTAGTATATAGTAACCACTCCTTAAGATGTAGCTCTCAAAATGGTTAACTAGTAGCACTGCACTAATACTACTGTTACTGATGACATTATTTATTACTGAGTCTAATTTCTATGCTGGGGATTTTGTTAGGCAATCTACATATATTTTCTCGACTAAAGAAACCTCTGGGAGCCATCCATATATTACTGATTCCATTTTATAGGGAAGGAAGTTATCTTTAGAGAGGTTTAGTAACTTGGCAAAACTAGAAAGTGACCACATACGTCTAATTCCAAAACCTGTATTTTCAACAACGAATAATGAATTTCTTGAAGATTCTTCCTCTCTCTCCTTTAAGAGTTTGATGGGAGACTTATTCTTGCAGGAATTATTTTTCAATTTACTCTAACTTCTAAATCTAAAACCACACTTGGCATGTCATCCCCCATCTGCCTGAAATGCAAAATATCCTTTACTCTCAGGTGTCCTAGGCTAGATCTCTCTATTCTTGTCGAAAACCATGAACATACTTTTAGCAGGTAGCTGACTCAAGCCCCCCCCTTTTTTTCTGAATTCTAAATTCTAAATTCTTGGAGGATTTCTTTTCTATAGGTCTGTTGCTATCCATGTCCAGGTTCTGTCCTTTAGTTGTCCTATTTCTTATTTCTGAACAAATGTCCTTTAGCATTCAGCAAGTCTTAAGTGATTCCTTTTACTTTCTTAACACTTGGAATCATCCTTGTAACAAGGTTGGTCTCTTATTATGAGAATTAGGAGAGAATTCTGAAGAATTTGGTCTTCATGTAAACATTTCTGTTTATAGCAAGTTATTTCATCCAACTGAGCATATTTTTGTTTTAGCTTTTTCTGTTCTTTTGACTACCAGTTTGCTTCCAGTAAAGGAGATGATTTTAGGGAATGTGATTCTGGGAATGTACATTCTGTCAAATGCACCATAAACTCTCTTCCCACCTTTCGGTTTCATTGCTGCTGGGATGATTGCTGGAATGGTGGCAGTGAATGTATTTCTCTTATAGCCATTAGACATTGTTCTGCTGAGACTTTCTATCTGCATTAGAGTCAGTTTTGTGAAACTGTATTTTCCAAATTTGTGAAACTGTATTTTCCAAAAATGTGATCCACTTAGGCTTGGAAGTTACTTGTAGAAAATTGTACAAAATACTGTTTTAAAAAATGTACTCTATTTCCTCTTGTCATTTCTTACTCAGTGTATTTGTTCTTTTAGTTGGCACTCAATTTTCTCCTTTTCCTAAGAAATTAGCTTATTTATTTCTTAATTTCACTGTTTCAAAATTTGCTATCTCATTAACTTTTGCTTTTATGTTTATCTATCTATTATTCCTTTTATATTTACTCTTTCAGATGCTTTTCATTTCTTCTTGTGGATTCAAGGAACTGTCAGTGTCATTCTCTTTTAAGCTGATGACTTTAATATTTTTCTGTAAGGCAAGTTTGCTAACTATGAAATCTCTTAGTTTTTGCTTATCTGGGAATGTCTTTATTTCATCTTTATTTTCAAAGAATAGCTTTGTTAGGTATAGAATTCTTGATGACTTTTGTTTGTTTCTTGCTGCATTCCACACTATCTTCTTACCTCCATCATTTCTGATGAAAAGTCAGGAGTCAGCCATGTTGCCAATCCCCCACACACGATGAGTCATTTACTCCCATTTTGCATAATTGGTAAACTTGGTGGCATTCCACAAATCTCTAAATTTAGTTCATTTTTGTGTAGAAAGCATTTGCCTGAAGAGCACTCTGGGGGGATCTCCTGACACAAACCAATAGAGTTCCAAAATACATAAAGTAGAAACAGACAGGAATGACAGAAGAAATGAACATATCAAAATATACTTAGTGGTTTCAATAGTCCACCTTCAAAAACTGATCATACCAACTAGATAGAGAACAAGTCAGGGTAAATAGACTTGAAAAACACTATTAACTAAGTTGACCTAACTGATGGTTTTTGAACACTCTACTCTACAACAACAGAACACATTGTTTTCAGGAACATAGAATGTTTTCCAAATAGACCACCTATTGTGCCATAAAACAATTTCAGCATATATTAAAAAACTGAGAAAATGCAAAGTATCTTCTCTGATCAAACGATTTAAAAATACACAACAGAAGGAAATTTGGGGAATGCCACAATACTTGCAAATTTGACAACATACTCTTAAATGAATCATGAATTACAGAAGAAATCTCAAGGAAAATTATATTTTTAACCAAATGAAGGCAGAAATATATCAAATCACATGGAATGCAGTAGGGACTAAGGGGATATTTATAGCCTTAAATGACTACAGGAGAGAGAAAAAAAAAAAAAACAAAGTTCTGCATTATAATCTAAATTTCCACCTTCAGAAACTGTAAAGAGAAGCAAAAAGTGAACAAAAAATAAGAATAAGGAAGGAATAATAAAGATCAAATTTGGAATCAATCAAATAGAAATCCATGGTGGAGCTTAAGGTTGCTTTCTGGAAACCATCTGCAGAACTAATGAACTCTAGTTAGACTGAACAAAGATGCTGGGTTGAAATCAGTACCTGACCATGGACTGGGCCATTCCCCAGTGTGGTAGAGACAGACCCAGGATCAGTTTTGCACCCAGACTCTTGCTCAGAGCACACTGCCTTCTCAGAGCTGATGAGTCTGGGGAGATTCGCAGTGGCTTTTGTAGTTTCTGATGAGGTTAGGTGGGGCTTCCTCACCTTTGTGACTATGCTTTTTATGCAGGCTGTAGGTGCCTGTGTGGCACTGTGTATTCACTGCTGGCACAGAGGTACAGAGATGTCTGTGAGGGGCTGGCAGACTCTAGGGTCAGGGGAAAGTGCTCCTTCTTTAATCTGGAGACAGTTGATCCAGAGGAGAGCTCTTCCTTCTCTGTGGTATTAACACCATACGAATAATGGATCAACTGTAATGCCTTTCCTGGGTCTTGGCGATACCAGTACATGTTCTCATAGCCCATAGTTTGAGAGCATTCCAGAACAATCTTCTTTCCTATCCCTGAAACACAGTATCTCGGGTTCTGGGTGATACCAGCATCCACGAGGCCTGAGAAAAGGAGGCAAAAATTAACAACAGAGGCCTTGATGTTGGAACCAGGTGCAGAACCAGAACAAGGGAAAGTGTTCCTTTCTAATTTTAGAGAAATCTGTGTCCAAGACTTACCTGCCTCCAGAAGATAAAGGGCCACATAGCAGAGGAGCCTGACAGCCATAGCACAGTTAGGGCCAGAAAGGGATCTCCCAGTTCTGGGGAAGTGGGATGGGCTCTTGATGAAGTCATTGTGTGACAACATAGTCCCTGCAAACTATGTGGGCCCCACAGCCATCCTGTTGATACAGGGTCATCTCTATCCCTTTACTCATTAAAGGACTAATATTTTTGTTTATTTCTCTCATCCAAAGTAGGCTAGATCTTTGCTTATTTGTTTTAACTCAACTTCTACTCTTTTTGCCACACGTTAAATTGCAGCTGTTTTATAAGCTGTGAAAATGAGGACTGCAGAGCTTCGGGAGGCCGTAACAGGAAGATCTGACCGAATCTGGAAGGTCAGGAAAGGAAGTGATGTTTGAGGTGGGTCCTGAAGGTTGAGTTGGAACGAGCTCCTCCGCAAAGCTGTGAGAGAAGAGCTCAAAAGAAGGACGCGGTGACCAGGGTGGCTCCGTCAGACTGGCATGAGAGTCCACGTTGAGAGGATCACATGGGGGTACCCATTTAGATAACGTGTGTGAAGGGCTTAGGGCAGGAACTGACAGTTGTTGAGTTCTCAGAAAAGTTATTGTTCTTATTGTATGATAATTAGGCCACCTTTTCTATCTTGTTTCTCATTAACTCAGGGTTCAGATTTCACCAGCTTTATCAACTTAGGCTCCTTTACATTCAGTTCATCTTTCTGTTAAGTGCACCATCAATCATGACAAAATAGAAAATTCAAACCTGTGGTTCTTTCCAATACATGCTTCCGTAAGCTGCCTAAAATATTTTGGGTAATGCTGCAGTAAACAACCTCCAAGCCAAAACCTACCCTCTCTCCTCTATTGCTTTTCAACTGAAGTCTTTAGCTTCCTTTAGTCATGAATCACAAAGATGAATCCCTGGATCCCTTCCCCCTTCCTCTGCTCCCTTTGCCCTGGTTTGCTGGGATCCACAGTTGACATTCAGTCAAATTCTTGCTGAGCTGCTGCTGACCTGGGGGTTTGGATTTGACTGTTTGGCTCCACTCTTTGAAGATCACTTTTATGTATTTTATATATGAGAACTGCAGGGTCCTGCTCACTCTTGCTCTCTCCTATGTCCCAAAAGAATATAACAATTTTGACTTGCCATACTTTGAGATATTCTTGTCTCATTTAAGACTTCTTTAAGACAAGGCTAATCATGAAAATGGAATGACATTTGTTCCTTGCTCTTCCTTTGAAAGCTGGCCTTACCTTAATAGGTGGCACCCAAGAAGAAAAAATAATAATGAAATTTTACTGCCCCCTGCTGAAAAAAATGTGGAAAGGATGAACAGACACTTAGAGATTTGAGAAGGGTCTTTCTGATGAATTTTAAAGAAATAGGAAGGGGAGAAGCCCCAAATAGGTCCAGGTATGAGAAGATTTAAGGATGAATGATGAGCTGATAACAGTTCCCAGCAGTAATTGGATGCAAAATCTGATTCTCATGGTAGAAGGGGTTAAAGAGAGGGAAGAACCCAAGGGGTGGATGTTGGATTGGGAGGAGATATGAGAGGCTCAGGTCCCACTCGGATGAAGGGGTGCTTGAAGGCAGAAATGACTCTCCAACCCTTGTTGCCAGGGCAGGAATGAGTTACACATGGCCACCTTCTGATATAGTTGGAAAGTGTTTGGAGCAGCTGCTGAGAATTTCTCAATGTCAACAATTAAGGACACAGCAATTATCAAAAATAATCGTTACATATGTCTCCACACGTTTGGTCCAGTGAAACATCCTCTCTCATTTTCTAATGTTCTTAGTCTTCTTATAGAATTATGCCTAACCAAACATATTTTCTTTCTTTTAAAAGGACTTGTAGGTGGGGGGTGAGGAGGACTTAAATAAACATGCACCAGAACTCAGAAAACATGTTACTTGGAAGAAAATCCTGAGGAACTACTTGAAAAGCATTTTTTCCTTTCCTCCTTCCCTTCCTTCCTTTCTTCCATCTTTCCTTTACTAAGTCAGACATTGTACTCAGTTCTAGGAATATAAAATTGGAGGGATATCACTCTTAAACTAAAGAATATATAGTCTCCAGAAGACCACATAAAGAATACGATAACTATAGTATTTGGAATGAATAAAAATTGAGTCCTCTATCTGTGGGAATCACGAACGCCTTTATTTATTTTTATTTTTTGTTTTTAGACTACTTATTGGAAAGAGAGAGCGAGCATGAGTGAAGGGGGAGGAGGAGAGGCAGAGGGAGAAGCAGACTTACCGCTGAGCAGGGAACCCGACAAGGTGATTGATCCCAGGACCCCAAGATCCTGACCTGAGCCGAAGGCAGACACTTAACTGACTGAGCCACCCAGGTGCCCCACAAAAGCCTTTATAGTTAAACTAATCTCTAAGCTAAGAATTGAAGCCTATGCAAGAGCAAGCCAGGTAGCAAAGAAGTAGTAGCCCATTTCTAATGAGAAAAATCATTTGCAAAGTTGTAGTTGTGCAACTAGGCTGGCTTGGTCTATTCAGGGAAACATAAACATAAAACATTCAGCTGAACTACAGTCTAAAGGGCTGAAGGGAGCATGGAAGATCTGGCCATATTTTTAGACAGCGATCTGTTCACGAAGGGCTTTGTGTGCCAAGTGAAGAATGCCAGATGCATTCTGGCTACTGGCAATGTCTAAGGCCAAGTAAAGCAGATAAAGGAAGAGGCTAGTAGACCCATGAGAAAGGCAATGCATTTTTTTCTAGGGAATGGATGTTGGGAGTCTGCCTTAACATAGAAGGAAGGGAAGGGAGGGAGCTGTTGAATCAGATAAACACGAGTATTGTAAACTGTGATGGGTCATCCACATCTCCCTTCAGGCAAGAAGGACAGTTTCCCTTTCTGCTAGGAATGCTGCTGATAAACAGCTCTCTTTGTGAATTGCCCTGTCTCTTTAGCCATCACCACCTTCTAAGGTATGCCCTTTCTCAGGGCGACCCATCACACTGGCATGGTTGCAAGGAAAGTTTATATAAAAGCTAGTCTGCTTACCTCAACTTTGGGTCATTCTAAAGGCCATCATGGCTTCAAGGCTCCCCGTGGCTCAGCGAGGGCTTTTGTTAAGGCTGTAGGACAGCTCAGCTTCTTTCTCAGCCTCTCCTTCTTGTTTCTTTCCATTCTACCCATGTTGGCTGAAAATGACACTTTCTAATAACACACTGAACACTAATCTCCCCTGAGAAGTTGGCTTCCTAGAAAACCAAACCTATGGAAATATGGTATATGGAAATAATAGATTTTTTTTCTTTCATTTAAGTTCAGTTAGCCAACATATAGTACATCATTGGTTTTATATGCAGAGTTCAATAATTCATCAGTTGCATATAACTGAGTGCTCATCACATCATGTGCCCTCTTTAATGCCCATCACCCAGTTACCCCATGGCCCCCTGCACCTCTCCAGCAGCCCTCAGTTTGTTTCCTAGAGTTAAGAGTCTCTCATGGTTTGTTCCATCTCAGATTATTTCCTGTTCAGTTTTTCCCTCTTTCCCCTATGATCCTCTGTGTTGTTTCTTATATTCCACATATGAGCAAAACCATATGATAATTGTCTCTCTCTGATTGACTTATTTCACTCAGCATAATACCCTCCAGTTCCATCCATGTTGATGCAAATGGTTAAGTATTCATCTTTTTTGATGGCTGAGTAATATTCCATTGTATATATGAATCACATCTTCTTTATCCATTCATCTGTCGATGGACATCTTAGCTCTTTCCATAGTCTGGTCATTGTGAACATTACTGCTATGAACATTGGGGTACAGGTGCCCCTTCAGATCGCATTTGTACCTCAGAAGTAATCGATTTGCAAATGGACTTAATGTGAGGGCTTATAGAAAGAGGAATCTAGAATGATGGTTTCAGTCACTGAGAAGAGATACTGTGTATGGGCCAGAGGGGTACATTCAGGGTTAGGGGACAATAAATTCGGCAATAAATCACTTGAGTTTGAACTGTAGAGCATCCAGCTGGAAGTGTCTAGGAGACAGGTGAGTCTACCAGTTTGGAACTTATGAAAGAAATTGTTGTGATCATGGATGGGAAGATTAAGGAAGAATATTTATACTAAGGGCAAAAATAAGGTAGAAGGAAAGTCCAGAAAAATCTACTGGAAATGTCCAATAAATAATTAAAGAGAACGGTTAATAGCTTATGACAGAAGAATGATTATTACAGATGAGACTTTGGTGAAGTGTGCATAGAAAGCAGGGAGCAAAAGTCTAGAAAACCGACTTTTTAAAGGGAAAGATGAGATAGAACTCATACAGGAGATTAAAAAAAGTGTGACATTCTTTTCAGATCAGAACAGGTAGAAAATGAAATAAGTTGCATTCTTTGGGTGAACTGTCACTGCATCATGGATTCTTTTGTTGAAATAATTGAGGCCCATGGGGTGCAAAGACAAAGCACATAAGAAAGCCTTCAGTTTGACTCTTAGGCAGGTTTTACATCAGGCTATGGCATCCCTTGATTGAGTATTTTTGTGCCTCCCAGGAGGGTCCTCTCTGCAGGGGAACTGAGGGGCTTATTCCCACGCCTCAATCGAAAGAGGAATCTCCAAGCTCTGAGCTTTGGCTCCATGCTGGGGAGCAGGCAATTGGCATTTCTTTCTTTTTTTTTTTTTTTGAAGCCAGTACCTCCAGATATGACACAGTCTCTCTGCTCCTGCAGGTTAAGATTATTCTCAGCAGAGATCCGAGTGTGGGGCTGTAGATGAAAGGTAACTTTTATAGATCATAATCTCTAGTACTAGATAAACTTCATCTTCTGAGTCAGATTTAAATACTAATTAAATTTACTGGGGCACCTGGGGGCTCAGTGGGTTAAGCCTCTGCCTTCGGCTCAGGTCATGATCTCAGGTTCTTGGGATTGAGTCCCACAGCGGGCTCTCTGCTCAGCAGGGAGCCTGCTCTCCCCCACCCCCCGCCACTTCTGCCTGCCTCTCTGCCTACTTGTGATCTGTCTGTCAAATAAATAAAATCTTTAAAAAAAATTTACTTAGGGTCGCCTGGGTGGCTCAGTTGGTTAGGCAACTGCCTTCGGCTCAGGTCATGATCCCGGAGTCCCAGGATCGAGTCCTGTGTCGGGCTCCCAGCTCCGTGGGGAGTCTTCTTCTCCCTCTGACCTCTCCCCTCTCATGCTCTCTCTCATGGTCTCTCTCAAATAAATAAATAAAATCTTAAAAATAAAGCAAAAAAAATTTACTTAGGATGAAGTTTTAGGAAACAAGGTAGTCAGTTTGTTCCTGGTAGAAAGGCACCCGAATACAGAGCTGAACAGTGCGTGATGCTTGGAGGAACCAGGACTGAGAAGGGGACAGCAGGATAAAGGGACTGTCAATAGGACCAGAATGGAGTGGAGTACATTACAAAGTGGGTGGCAGACAGAGGCAAAAGAACCCTGAAAAACCACATTGTGTCAGAGCTCCTAAGAAATGTTCTTTTTGAAAACCGTGGTATTGCCAAATGTCAGGTTCATTCTCCTAGAAGGACACTACTAGGTTAGCCCCATTAGAAGAGAGAAAGAGTGTCAATCAACCGAGAAGATAGGTTCAGTCCAGCCTGTGGTTTCAGTCACCACATGGCCTGGGGGCATCGACCCTACATAGCCCTAAGCTCAGACTGAGACTCACACAGCGTAGAACTATTCAGACCCCTAAGGATCCCCATGTCCCACATGGAGGAAGCCTTGTGTGCCCATCTGAGCAAATGTGCCTGTCTTTCTGTATGGAGAGCAGGTGGCCAAAAAGCACTGTGTTAATCACTGCTGGCACAGAAGTAGAGAGCTATTTGGTTGGGGACGGCAGCCCCTAGGGACAGGGAGAATTTTGCCAGCCCCTCTCGAGAGGCCTTGTACCCACTGGAGACCTCTCCTTCATTAATATCACTGACGTAGGCGTAGTAGATCAGCCGTAGCCCCAGTCCTGGGTCTTGTCGATAACAGTACATATAGTTATGACCCTTAGTCTGAGAACACTTCAGTAAAATGCTCTTTCCTGTCTTTATAATCCCATGCCTTGGGGTCTGGGTAATGCCAGCATCCATGGAGCCTGTTGGGAAACAAGACAGAAACTGTAGACAGAGCCTAGGACGGGTCCTCTTGCCACAGGCTCAAGGGAGAAGCTTCAGCCAGGACCAGGAAAATTTCAAGGCAAGGCTTCCCCATGTTTCCCAAACTCACCTGTTCTCAAGAGACAAAAGGCCACACAGCAGAGGAGCAAGAAGCCCATGGTAGGGAAAGGCAGGGTAGAGGCTTCCAACTCTGAGCACTGGGGAAACAGGGCATAGAAATAGGAAATGGGAAATACTCGGTCAGTGATGTTGTCCATTACAGTGTACCAAGGCTCCGAGAAAGATACACCCACACCCCTTTTCCCCCAGAGCCTAACCTTCACTCCCTCTTTACTCAGGCAGACAGTGCCTTGGTTTAGTTTCCGTGCATCCTGTCAAAGATGCAGAGTCTTCAACTCCCTCCTCTCCTCTTTCTGGTTCTTCTCTGCCACCCACCGGACAGCGGTCTCTCTTCCTCTTCCCGCATCTTATCTACTACAGTCCTTCAAGGCCATACCCTCGCCCCAGTGAAATAAGCGAGGCAGTAAATTCAGAATCTTTTCAAATACAGAGAAACTAGTCCCCATGGAAGACTGTGCCACTGTAACATTTCTCTTTTTTCTTCATTGATTCCTTTTTTTTCCTAACTCAGGTCTAGGTAAGCCATGAAATTTCAATCTATTCACTGTCAAGTTCGAGAGTTTTGTTTAGTTTTGTCTTTTCCTAAGGGACCAGCACTACTACCTTTGTTCCAAATTTCTATTGTTCTTTAATGGACATTGCTTTTCTGGTCAATGTTTCCTGGGTGCAGATCTTTACCGAAAGTACAGGCTAATTGTAGGAAGGTATTCTCTTAATGTGGGTAATGAAAAAGTTTCATTCAGAATACATTCTCTTAACGAAATACTTAATATTTTCTTTCCTATTTTGAATGAACCGGAACTTGTTCATTAAAGAGGTGATTTTAGTATAACATAAATTGTTGCTGATTTTAGGAGGAAAAGTCTTCAGTATTTCAATGTAACAAAGGACAAATACAGGACAACCACAAAGATAGTATGAAACATTGGTATCATAAATCTGTCCACTTTGCCCTCCAAGTCTGTGCTTGTCCTGCCTCTTCCTCAACCTTGAATATCCTACACTAATCAATCCAGCCATAGATCTCTTTGGGAAAGTCTTCTTTTTAAGAGTTTTTCTTTTGATTGGGAAAATTTACAGCATATATAAAGTAGATGTAGTAATATAATGAGCCTCCATGTCCCCACATGACCTGGCTCCAATAATTACCAACTCATGGCCTCTCTTGTTCATTCTGCACTATTTCTCTCCCTTTTTCTCTCTCTCTCTCTCCCCCTCGTGTTATTTTGCACACTCATTGCTTTATTTTGGCACATTTCACAGCCAGTGTATAACTTCTGTATGACATTCCAGTGTAATTCTCCCTTCTCTCTGGACAGAATGGTTCATTAATCCCACCAGTAGAAACTGGGATTATTTTTTCCCCCCAGTAAACTGCTTATTCAGGGGCTTAATTAATACAAACAGGATAATTATAAGGTAGATTGCCATCTGAGTTTGTCCTTCATTTGCAGTTCTTAACGCAAACATGCTGTTTTCTGTCCCCTGCTGTAGGCAGTGACTGGAGTGGAAGAGAGAGTTGGGAGGTGAATATGAACTATTATCAGGGGTGTTCTCTGCTGAGGTCCAGTGGAGTCCTACCGTATAAGTCTGTAGGTGCACAGCAAGGGCAGGAGAAGCATACATCATCCTGGGAGCAGAATCTATACCAAAGGAGGACTGAGCGACCATTATCCGAGGAAGCAACGGAGGAGACACATAGTTGGATGGGCATGGAATTGAGAGAGACACTCCAATTCTGGACAACCCAGAGGGTCCTTGATGTCATGGACCAGTATTCCCCCTCCTCTGGGATGGCTTGTGCCTTATCACTCAAATCTTCTTTTTAAATTTTATTTTACTTAAATTCAATAGATTGCCATATAGTGTATTATTAGTTTCAGAGGTAGAGTTTAGTGATCTGTAAGTTGCATATAAGAACTCATTGCTCATTACATCACATGTCCTCCTTAATGCCCATCACCCAGTTACTCCATCTTCCTACCCCCCCTTCCTCCACCAATCCTCAGTTTATTTCCTGGAGGGAAGAGTCTCTTATGGTTTGTCTCCCTTTCTGATTTTGTCTTATTTTATTTTTCCCAAATCTTGTTTACAACCCATTCCTCTGATGCATCCCCCACCACAGGCAGAACACAAACTGCCCAGTCTCCCCCCAAACCCTGGTTTTCCCTGTGTGCTGTGTGTTCATGGGTGTGATCCCAGCAACACAAAGTTGTCGTCTCATTTGTGAGTCATTGATCTGTGTAATACATGTCCTCAGGCACACAAGAGTTTTAGTACCGGTTAGTGCTTTCTGTGTCATAAGAAAAACTCACAAAGATGTTTTCCTGTTTTCTTCTAGAAGAGTTGTAATTATAGCTTTTATACTTAGGTCTATGACCCATCTCAAATTGACTTTTGTTTACAGTATGAGGTAATCAGTAAAATATGTTTCTTTTCACATGATCATCTAGTTATTCCAACATTATTTGTCAAGAAAACTGCTATCTTAATGCCTTGAAATTTCCAATCCATAAACATGATAAATCTTTCCATTTTTAATATTTTTTTTAAATTTCCCTTTGTGAATCCATCCCTCCCTTCCTTCCTTTTTCTTTCTTTTCCTCTTTCTTTCTTTCTTTCTTCCTGCTTTTATTTATAGAATGCTGTGATAGTTTTCTCTAAAAGACAGTTAACTTACTGGTGGATCACCCAGATCCCTTGGAAGCTTGTGGAATTTTGTTAGGGCACTTGTAGAGTGGCTTTAATTCTAGGACTGAGGTATGATCCCTCCGCCCCCACCCCCGCCTTGGGGTGCCAAGTATATTTTCCCAGGGGCTTCAGCAACCTCTCTCCACTCTGGCTGGTCAGGATTCATATGTCCTTCAGGACTGTGTGGCCCCCAGAATGCCCATTCCTGCTGTCAGTCTTCAGGAGGCTCTGTACGTGTCTGCTGTTCAGTGTTTGACCCCCATGCCATATTGGGAGCAATTTTCTGCACAGTTTCCTTCTCTCCAGAAACTTCCCCCTACAAACAGCAGCCACTTGCATAGCCCTGACCTCTGCTTTCTTCCTGTCGCATCGAAGCCACTTGCTCTGTGCAAGACTCCCGTGCTACAGTCCAGAAGCAGTTCTAAGGAAGGGACCCGGAGCAAATGTGAAGCCCCTTTCCTCAACCCTCTACTGCCTGCTGTCTAATGCCTGAGAACTGCTGCCTTAAAAACTTCTATCAGACTTAACAATGGCTTATACATGTAGGCAAGTACAATAACAACTTCCATTTGACTTGAAGCCAAATGCCTGTTATTTTTTAAAAAGATTTTATTTATTTGAGAGAGAGAGAGCGGGGAGAGAGCACAAGCAGGGTGAAGGGTAGATGAAGCAGCAGACTTCCTGAGCAGGGAGCCCGATTTGGGGCTTGATCTCAGGACCCCCAGATCATGACCTGAGACAAAGGCAGACGCTTAACCGACTGAGCCACCCAGGTGCCTCCAAATTCCTATTATGCTTATTATAGTTATATAATTATGATGATCTTTATTGGACTTTTAAGGTTCTAATCCTCATTGTCAAGCTGACACTATCATAAGTAGTTTATAAGAGTAACCTTCTGACAGGGCTCCTTATCAAACTAGATAACATAATTCATTTTTTAACTGTTCTTAAACACTTTTTCAAAGTATTATTTTTTTCCAAATTTACATGAATTTTTTTCTACTCATATCTTCTCATTCCCTGTTAAATTATTGGTTCGATTCTTTTTTTTTTATAATTTTATTTTTTATAAACATATATATATATATTTTTTTTCCCCCAGGGGTACAGGTCTGTGAATCTCCACGTTTACAAACTTCACAGCACTCACCATAGCACATACCCTACCCAATGTCCATAACCCCCCCCCAACCCCCCTCTGCCCAGCAACCCTCAGTTTGTTTTGTGAGATTAAGAGTCACTTATGGTTTGTCTCCCTCCCAATCCCAACTTGTTTCATTTACTCTTCTCCTACCACATTAACCCCCCATGTTGCATCTCCTCTCCCTCATATCAGGGAGATCATATGATAGTTGTCTTTCTCCGATTGACTTATTTCGCTAAGCATGATACCCTCTAGTTCCATCCATGTTGTTGCAAATGGCAAGATTTCATTTCTTTTGATGGCTGCATAGTATTCCATTGTGTAATATATACCACATCTTCTTTATCCATTCGTCTGTTGATGGACATCTAGGTTCTTTCCATAGTTTGGCTATTGTAGACATTGCTGCTATAAACATTCGGGTGCACGTGCCCCTTCGGATCACTACGTTTGTATCTTTAGGGTAAATACCCAGCAGTGCAATTGCTGGGTCATAGGGTAGTTCTATTTTCAACATTTTGAGGAACCTCCATGCTGTTTTCCAGAGTGGTTGCACCAGCTTGCATTCCCACCAACAATGTAGGAGGGTTCCCCTCTCTCCGCATCCTCGCCAGCATCTGTCATTTCCGGACTTGTTAATTTTAGCCATTCTGACTGGTGTGAGGTGGTATCTCATTGTGGTTTTGATTTGTATTTCCCTGATGCCGAGTGATATGGAGCACTTTTTCATGTGTCTGTTGGCCATCTGGATGTCTTCTTTGCAGAAATGTCTGTTCATGTCTTCTGCCCATTTCTTGATGGGATTATTTGTTCTTTGGGTGTTGAGTTTGCTAAGTTCTTTATAGATTCTGGACACTAGCCCTTTATCTGATATGTCGTTTGCAAATATCTTCTCCCATTCTGTCAGTTGTCTTTTGGTTTTGTTAACTGTTTCCTTTGCTGTGCAAAAGCTTTTGATCTTGATGAAATCCCAATAGTTCATTTTTGCCCTTGCTTCCCTTGCCTTTGGCGATGTTCCTAGGAAGATGTTGCTGCGGCTGAGGTCGAAGAGGTTGCTGCCTGTGTTCTCCTCAAGGATGTTGATGGATTCCTTTCTCACATTGAGGTCCTTCATCCATTTTGAGTCTATTTTCGTGTGTGGTGTAAGGAAATGATCCAATTTCATTTTTCTGCATGTGGCTGTCCAATTTTCCCAACACCATTTATTGAAGAGGCTGTCTTTTTTCCATTGGACATTCTTTCCTGCTTTGTCGAAGATTAGTTGACCATAGAGTTGAGGGTCTATTTCTGGGCTCTCTATTCTGTTCCATTGATCTATGTGTCTGTTTTTGTGCCAGTACCATGCTGTCTTGATGATGACAGCTTTGTA